CCCCCTCACCTCCACACCTGCCTCATCTCCACCTCACCTCCCCATCCCCCTCACCTCCATCTCACCTCCACACCCCCCTCACCTCCACCTCACCTCCACACCTACTTCACTCCACATCTACCTCACTCCACACCCACCTCACCTCCACACCTGCCTCACCTCCATCTTACCTCCACCTCACCTCATCTCCACCTCCACACCCTCACCTCCATCTCACCTCCTTACCCACCTCACCTCCACACCCACCTCACATCCACCTCACCCTCTATTCCCAGACCTCACCTCCCATGGCACCCAGACACTGGATGGTGGTCCCTGGGACCTCCCCACACAGCTCTTTCATGGCCAATCATGCGTGTCCTGGCTTCCCTCCCTGGATCACCCCTCCTGGCATTCCTGCCTCAAGCACTACTCTTTGATTTCCTTCCTGGGTCCTCTCCTGGCACGCCCCACCCCCCGAGGTCTCAGGATGACCATAACCCCACTGTTTGTATTGTGTTTGCCCTCAACTTCCCCAACATGACACCCCTGAGAGCAAGAAGGGCCTTGTTCTCTGCTGTTTATCTGAGACAGACCTCACACACGCAGGTGCTGAGAGACTCGTGCTGCAGAAAGGCAGGGGACACACAGAGAAGCAGAAAAACCACACACAGAAGAGGGCAGAGTGAAGGATGTGACCAAGTCCTCAGACACGAAGCTGCTGCTCCACATCGCCACACACGGTCTTTACCCCTCACAGTCAGCGTGGCCGAGGTCCTCTCCTGCCCACACACGCATGAGTACTCCCCAGCATCCGTCACGGCCAAGCCACGGATCTCCAGCTCACACACGGCCCCGTCCTGCCTCAGGCTGACTCTGTCCCCGGCTCTGAGGGTCTCGGACCCCTTCCTCCACTCCACGGGGGCCACCTTGCTCAGCTCACAGCACAGTGTGGCTGTGGTCCCTTCCGTGGCCTCCTTGCTCCTCAGTCTTCCTATGAACTCGGCAGGCAGGGCTGGGGAAAGTCAGATAGAGAACGTGAGATTCTCTGGAGATGGTTGGGGGACAGGATGGGACAGATGGAGGAAAAGACAGACTCTAACAGGACAACAGGATGGAACCAGTGGTGACACGAGGAGTGGAAGTGGCTTAGATGCTGGCTTCTCGTGGTTTCTACAACAGCCCAGGCAGGCGGAAGGGGTTCAATGGAGTTATGGGAAGAGAGCGACACTGAGATGGGAGAGAATGTGGAATGAATGCAGAGGGATGTCATGGAGTCGATAACCGGACATGAAAATATGTCTATGCTTGATCACTCATGGTCTTTACCCCTGATGGTCAACATGGCTGACGTCCTCTCCTGCCCGCATATGCATGAGTACTCCCCAGCATCTACCACGGCCAGGCCACAGATCTCCAGCTCACACACAGCCCTGTCCTGCCTCAGCATGACTCTGTCCCTGGCTCTGAGAGTCTCAGGCCCCTTTCTCCACTCCACGGGGGCCGCCTTGCTCAGCTCACAGTGCAGTGCGGCTGTGGCCCCTTCCGTGGCCTCCTTGCTCCTCAGTCTTCCTATGAACTCGGCAGGCAGGGCTGCAGCAAGGTCCAACGCATGCAGAACGTCCTCTCCGTCCTCCCAGAGGGGACGAAGGGGGCTGCACGGGGCTGTGTGGGCAGGGTGGTGGGGACACTTACCCTTCACAGTGAGAGTGGCCGAGGTTGTCTGGTCCCCAAAGCAGCAGAAGTACTGCCCACTGTCCTGGGGCCGCAGGTCCCGGACCACCAGCTCCAGCATGGTGCCCTCCTGCCGCAGACTGTGCTTGCCTCCTGATCGCAGAACCTCGTCTCCCCGGCGCCACTCCACAGGCGCAGCCACCGACGACAGCGTGCAACGCAGTGTCGCAGCACCACCCTCCAGCACCTCCACGTCCTTCAGCCCCTCCCGAAACTGCGCTGGCCGAGCTGCAGACAGGCACGGGCTCAGCTTGGCCTTCACCCCCTGAATCCCACCTGGGGTCCCACCTACAGTGGAGAACGGCTGGGGGCAGCAGCTGCAGGGGGCAGGCAGGCCCACCTCACCTCTTCTGCATCACGGGCTAGTGAGGGGGACCCTAAGACCTCTGCCTCTCTGGGAGGGGGAGCCAAACAGGAGGGAACAGAGAAGGGCAGAGTGTCATGGGCTGATTCTGACCCCCAAATCTATATGTTGGAGCCCCCAGGGCCTCAGAAAGGGACTGTATGTGGAGACAGAGCCTTTAAAGAGGTGATGAAGGTAAAATGAGGTCACTGGGGTGGGCCCTGATCCCACATGACTGTGTCCGTATGAGAAGACGAGATGAGGACACAGACACTCAGAGGGATGGCCATGTGAGGACACAGAGAGAAGACGGCCATCTACACACCAAGGAGAGAGGCCTCAGGAGGAACCAGCCCTGCCCACACCTGGACCTCTGACTTCCAGCCTCCAGACTGGGAGAGAATGAATGTCTGTGGTTTGAGCCCCCAGGCTGTGGTGTCTCTTACGCAGTCAGAGCTGACTGAGACAGATGCAGATGAGCAAAAACCAGGAGAAAGGAGACACCGATGTCAGAACACAAGACAAAGACAGAAATGAAGTAAAACCGAGACTGCTGGTCAGCAGACCAGGAGAGAACAAGGGGGCTCTACCAGAACAGCAGATTCCCAAACACAGGGGAGGGGGCAGAGTGAGACGGACAAGCTGCTGGAAAGAGAGGTGGACACAGGGTCCTGCGGACCGCCCCCAGAGAGAGAAGGAGTCAGATGGAGTCCCAGCGTCCCTACCCTGAGCAAGACAAGAGATATGGGCCCTGCCCGGGGGCTCACCATGGACCCTGACAATGGAGCTGCTCCAGGCACCGGTGGCCTCACACTTATAGCATCCACCGTCCTGCAGGGTGGTGCCAGTGATGACCAGCTGGGCCCGGCAGCCCTCGTAGGTCAGCCGGCACCGGGCCGATGGCCGCAGCGCCTTCCCATCCTTGGTCCAGAACACAGGGCTGTCTGGAGCAGCAGTCTCACAGACGAGGGTCAGATCCTCCCCCTCCGTGACCGTGGCATCCACGAGCTCCCGGGAGAAGGCACTTGGCTTCTCTGGGGACAGAGAGGGAAGCACAGGGCGCTTGTGGGCTCCTGCAGGAGAAGCCCTGGGTCTTGCTGCAGACCAGGCGATGCCCCGGGTCAGTGCCCACCTGCCCCACTCGGGCTGGGGCTGCAAACGGGGCCGCTGGGGGAACAGGGAAGCTCCATGTGGCTCCCCACACCAGAGGGCTGTGGCCTGGCCCATGCCACACTGACTGTGGGATCACCTCTGCATAACACGTGCACATTTCATCCTGAAAAAGCCCTGCTTGGTCTACCAAGCCCACCTTCCCAGAATCCAAGAGCCTAGCACACGGGCAGCCCACAGCGCCTTCTCTGGGAGCCCCAGGACCACTCAGCTGCACCCTCAACCACACGGACTGGCCCCCACCCCAGTACCAGAGACACAGCCTACCTGTGACCCTCAGGGCAGCCGAGGCCCGCTGGTCACCTGCCTCAAAGTGGACGGTGCCCGAGTCTTTGAGTGTGAGCTGCCGCAGGGTCAGCACGTGGTAGCCTCCAGGCTGGGCCTCAATCTCGTTGAGCTCGTTGGTCTGGAGGGGGGTCTTGTCCAGGAACCAGTGGACGGGACCGTAGTCAGCAGGGGACACACGGCAGCAGAAGGTGGCTGAGGAGCCCTCCTGCACCTCCACATCCTCCAGGTCCTCCGTGATGAGCACACTCTGGCCTGCAGGGGCGCAGACAGGCACGTCACAGTCGCCCTTGGCTGAGGGAAACATGGCACCCCCCCAAAACCCGGGGTGGGCTCACAGCCATGAGTGGGCAAGTGACTTTAACAGGCTCAGGATGACGAAACCCAGAAAACAGTAACTGGGTCAGAGCTGAACCATCCAAAAGTATTTTCTTAGGTCCACCAGTGAGCCCCAAACCCACCTTTGGGGTCCTTCTGCAGAGCCCACAGGGGATTCACAGTGGGCCCCTGCCCCAAGCTGTGCTCCCCACCTAACTGTGCCAAACGTGCCCGATCCTGAAGTCATGTAATGCAATTAAGTCTTGAATTAACAGAAAATATAGGAGTGTGCAAAAGACGTGTGGCTATGTTAAAATGTAAGTCAAATGCTTTGGAAAACTGACGATATGAATCACTAGAAGAAAATATTCTTGCTGCTGACATAGATTTGGCAAAAGCTTACAGAGAAGCCACAAACGTGGGGGTGGATCCTGCATCAGACTGTCCAGGGCCCGACAGAGCCCCGATCTCTGACCCACCCTGAGCCCACTTTAACCAAGACTCACACCCCAGCGTGCTGCCGCCAGGAAAGCCGTGTGCAAACCAGCGAAGTGCAGGCCTCACCTTGCACCAGGAGCCGGGCGTGGGACCGGGCCTGGCCAATATCACAGCTGTAGGTATCACTGTCTGCCTTCTCCAGGTCGCTGATGGTGAGCCTTAAGGTCAGGCCCTCCTGGCTGGGTGTGTGCTTCCCCGAGGTGCGCAGCTCCATCAGGCCCTTGTGCCAGGTCACCACAGCCGCGGGCCGCTCTGTCTTGCACAGGAACACAGCCGTGCCCTTCTCCTCCAGCTGCAGGTCGGCCAGCTCCTCCGTGAACCAGTTTGCCGTTTCTGGGAAAGGGGCAGGGGTGTGTGTGAGGCCCACAAAGACCCCACGCCGGACCTCGGCACAGGGCGTCGCTCCACCACAGGCAGTCCTCCTCCTGATCCGCCCGTGGAACCTCAGGGGCCTGCATGCCCCTTCTCTGCTGGGCCCCGCTCCGTTCCCACCTGGGACACCCCAGAGGCCACCGGGGCCACCCCAGGGTCTCTCGTGGGGTTACCTTCCACGCGGAGACTGGCTGTGCTCTTGGAAGCGTCCGTCTCGCACGTGTACTCGCCCGAGTCCTTGAGGGAGACCGCACGGATGACCAGCGTGGCCCTCACGCCTTCAACGAGCAGCTCGTACTTCTGGCTCTTGCGAATGGCCTTCCCATCTTTCAGCCAACGAACCGGGGTGCCGGCCCGCGACAGCTCACAGCTCAGCACCACATCCTCGCCCGGTGCAGCCTGCCGGTCTTCCAGGGGCTTCATGATGTCCGCAGGCCTCTCTGAAGGGAGCAGAGGAGGCAGCCCATGAGGCACGGCCACGGCCCCAGCCACGCTTGGGGTGAAAGCAAGGCAGGCAAGCAGAAACCTTCAGACTCCCAAGGCCAAGACGACAGAACCTGCAGCTCTGATACCCTGACCTTGGACTTGGGAGCCTCAGAGCCCTGGAATCCAGGAGTGCCCACAGTCACAACGAAGGAAGGGTGTGGGAGAGGGCTATTAGACCACAGAATCTTATGTTCCCAGCATCGCTGGGAGCCCTGCGACTCAAATCGTGGCCACAGGCACAGGCTGGCTGCAAACTGAGCATCATCTGTCTGCACCAGTGTTTATGCTGGAAGCATGAGCTCAGAAATGCCCACGGCTATTTCACCTATGGTGTGCCACATGCCCTGGTGCTACTGCGGCAATCAGATCACGGGTCAGAGACCAGAAACCCTGCTCCTGTCCAGAGCCTCAGAACCTCGCCCTAGAGAGCGTACCCCCCTCCTCAGATGACCAGAACACCCAGTGCCCCAACAGGTGCCTCTGGGCCCCACCAGGGGCTGGAGGAGACAGTCCCCAGAAGTGCCCTGGCAGCTGCCCGAGGCCCCGGCCCAGCAGACCCCACTGCAGAGATGCCCCATCCCCGCCCCAGCCAGTGGCGCCCACCTCTGATGATGAGCGAAGCCTTGGAAGTGAGGCTCTGCAGGGAGAAGACCACCTCCCCAGCATCACCCAGTGTGGCGTCTCGCACAGCCAGGGTGTACTTGCGGCCCTGGCGTGTGGCCTGGAAGCGGCCAGAGCTGCCCACCGTCTTCCCGCCGACTGTCCACACGGCTGTGTCGCTGGTGTTCTCGTGGGAAAGGACACACTCAAAGCTGCAGCTCTCACCCTCCTGCACCTCCACTGTCTTCAGTCTCTTCGTGATGCCCACATGCAGGTCTGCAGGCCATGGGAGATGGCCGTCACGCCAGCCAGGCCCATGGATGCCTGCTGTCGAGAACACGCCATCGAGCCCACAGTGCCCCAGGCCAGATCCCAGGAGAGGCGAGACCAGCTGCAGAGCCTGCGGACCTGCCCTCCCCAGCCCCACTCCCCAGGGGCCCGCTGCCTCTCCCAGAAAACGCCCCCTCACCTCCTGCTGGCTGCACCCTGGTGTTTGGATGGCCAACAGTTGTGAGTTCTGACCAGGGCGGCCGCCTTCCTACCTGCTACAAAGCAACACGCAGAGAACAAGCACTGCCCACGGTTGTCGACAGCTCACACGAGCCAGAAGGGGAAGGACAGGTGCCCGAATGAAGGGGTCATCCAGCCCCAGAACAAACTCACCACATCGCCCTCCCTCTCCCTGTCTCATCTCAAGCCCTAGCCACGCTATCTGGGACCCGACACAGGGTCTCGGAGGAGCAGGCCTGCCGTGCGTGAGGGGGAGAACAGGACCATCAGTGCTAAGCCAGGTACAGCGGAGCTCAGGGGCGGCCAGGTGTCCACCCTGTGGCTGGGAAACCAGGCCCAGGCGGGGAGGCACGTCTGAAGGAAACGTGGCCTGCCTACAGTCACCTTCACCAGGCTGCGCCCGTGGCCTGGGAGCCCTTCCCAGGCATCCCCCGCCTGACACCTCCAAGAGGCTCCTCTGATGCCCCTGTGCCTGCCCACGCACATCCCTTGGTGCAGGGCGAACATCTCCCACCTCTGTCTAATCCCTCCCACAGTGGACTCTATCAGGCAGAGCCAGTCCAGGCTCCCAGTCCAGCTTGGCTCCGTCGCCCATCATCCCCTGCCCAACTGCCTGCACCTGGGCCTCCTAGGACCACGTCAAGCCGGCTCCTCCATGAGCCTGCCTGGTGTCTCTGCCTCTCTGGGGTCATCAGATCAGCGCCCCCCTCCCCACCCCTGCCTCAAAGAGGGGGTGGAACCCCGGGGGAGGCGGACCCCGCGCAGCGCCCCGGCCCCGCCCCCTGAAGCCTGCTGGCTGCGGCCACGCACCGTGCACGCTGACGCGCGCCCGGGTCTCGTCCGTGCCCACGTCGCAGGTGTACAGGCCGGCGTCGTCGCGGCGCAAGCCGTGCACCACGAGCCCGCGCGTGCCCGCCGTGCGCAGGAACTCGTACTTGTCGCTGGGGCCCAGTTCCACACCATCCTTGCGCCACACCACGCGGGCCTGGGGGTCCGAGACCTCGCACTGCAGGGCCAGCGTGCCCTGCTCCTCCGCGGACACATCGTCCAGCGCCTTCAGGAACACCACCGGCTTCGCTGCGGGGAGGGTGTTGGCAGGTGAGGGAACGAGCCGCTACCTGGGGCCCAAAGGGAGCCGGGCGCGCCTCCCGGGGAGACCCCATGGACCCCGCAGGGACGCCTCACCTTTGACCTCCAGGCGGGCAGTAGCCGTCACCTTAGGGGAGGAGGCGCACACGGTGCCCGCGTCCCCCCGCCGGACCCGCTTCAGCAGCAGCGTGTGGCGGTGCCCTTCATGGGTGATCTCGTGGAAGCTGTCATTGTACAGGGGCGTCCCGTTGAGCGACCATTCCACCTCCTCGTCCTCGTGGGACAGCTCACAGGAGAAGCAGGCGCGGTCCTCTTCCGTGACCTCCACGTCCTCCAGCGGCTGCGTCACTGTCACCTCGCGCGCTGCCGGCACACCGGCCGCTCAGCAGGCACGCCACGGGCGCCTCCCCGAGAGACCCCCCCGGTGGCCCTGGGCCCCTCGCTCCGTACCCTCCACGGTGACCTCGGCGCTGCTCTGGGCGCTGCCGGCCTGGCACCGGTAGACGCCGGCGTCGGCGGGTGTGAGCCGCAGGACGCGCAGCTCTGCCATGTGCCCCGCCAGCCTCATCTTGAACTTGTCGGAAGGCGCCAAGGGCGTGTCCTCTCTGTACCACTGCACGGCCTTGGGGGGCGGCTTGAAGTCGCAGGACAAGACCACTGACTGCAGCTCGCGTCCCGCCTTGGGCTCCAGCGGCCGCGTGAGCACCACAGGGATGTCTGGAGGGCGGCGGAGGCGGGAGGAAGGCAGCGCTGCGGCGAGCCGGCTGGACCGCGGGGCTCGCACGCCGGAGCCCCCGCCCCGCGCCTCCCCATCCGCAGCCGCCCGCCAGGCTGTGCGCGCTCACCTGAGACCACGAGGCGGGCGGTGGAGCGCGACTTGCCGATGGTGAAGTGCACGGGCCCCGTCATGGTGGAGCAGGTGCGCCGCAGCGTCAGCCGGTGCACCGTGCCCTCCTGCTCCACGCCCACATCCGCCCCCGCGTGCAGCACCGTCTTCCCCAGGAGCCACTTGGGCGGCCGCACGGAGGGGATGGAAATCTCACACTCGAACCAGGCAGGGGCCGGCTCCATCACGGTCACGTCCTGCAGGCCCCGCACGATGGTGATGGACTGCTCTGTGGGCGAGGGCGCGTCACCGGTGGTCCAGTGGGAGGGCCGCCCCCGCCCCTGCAGGCTGGCCTTCCCTCCTGGGAACAAACCCTGTCCCCGACTCGCGTGCTCACATCCTCCCCAGCTGCCCCACACGCCCAGTCAGCCCTTCTCAGACTGGCCATTTCCAAGTGCCAGGGCAAACGGTAGAGGCCGTAGCTCCTCCCTGGGCACAGGGGACCGCTGCCCCCCGGCCCTGCGCGCACCTTCCACAAAGAACTGGGCGCTGGTCTTCACGTCGCCGGCGTCGCAGGTGTAGGTGTCCTCGTCCTCAGGCTGCACCTCGCTGATGACGAGCTTGCGGTAGAGGCCATCACTGACCATCTCATACCTGGGCCCAGGCCGCAATTCCGCGCTGCCCTTGAACCAAAGCACCTGGGCGCTGGCCCGCGACACCTGGCACTCAAGCACGCCGCGGTGCTTCTCCATGGCGATCTTGTCCCGCAGCGGGCGCAGGATGGTCACTGGCAGCTCTGTGGGCGCAGCCAGGTCGGGTGAGGGCCGGCACTCAGCGCTCCCTAACCCCCGGGTCTGGGCACTGTGCCTGTGCGGCATCCAACCAGCCAGGCTGGGCCGCTGCGCTCCAGCCCAACGCCCACCGCAGCCCGCCCGCCGGGGCGAGATGGCTAGGCAGAGGGTCACCCTCGGAGCCGAGATCCTCAGTGTCCAATTGACCACGAGGAAGGTGGGTACACTCGCATGCCTGCCCTTGCCCAATGTGCCAGGCCCCCCATGCACCCATGCCGCCCCTCCCTCGCCCTGCATCCCCCCCCACATCCTGCCCTCCCCCTGCGAACTCAAGCCCTGCACACCCTCACCCCGCCTGTCCGAAGACCCTCTCTCCGTCGCGCCCTGTCACCACATAGCTTCCCACTCCCTGCCTGCCAGGGCCTCACACCCCTTCTCCCCAACCTTGCTGCAGTCCCAGGAGGAGGAACCCGCTGGTACTCCGTTTTAAAGAAGGGGGGAGACCCCAAGCCCTCACAGCCCAAGGCCCCTCTCCCGATCCCCCTTTTACTGCAGAGAAGGTAATGCTCCCTCTCCTTCCTCCTGGGTCACTGTTCTCCTCATCCCCGGGGCCCTGGCACCCCAGGCCAACGAGCCTGTCAGCCCTGTAGGGCCCAGCACACGTGTGTGTTCACACACTGCCCAGCCCGTGCCCTCCCTGAGCCAGCCTCACCTTTCACTCGGAGCTGGGCTCGCGATTCTGCATTTTCGGCTACAAATTTGATTTCCCCTGCGTCTTCAGACAGGACTCTCCGGTAGACGAGAGTGTATGTCCTTCCTGGGAACACAGGCCACTCAGTACGTGGGGAGTGGGCGGTAAGGAAAGGCGGAGAGACCCTCCCACGGCCGCCCAGTCGCCGTCGCACCTTCCTGGCGGATGCGAACGTTGTCACTGGGCCGAAGCTTACTGCCCTCCCAGAACCACTGGGCGGGCACCTCGTCGAGGGAGACCTCGCAGGAGAAGGTGGCGCCCTCCTTCTCCATCACCTCGACGTCCTCCAAGGGCCTCACAATCTGGACGTTGCGGCCTGGAGCAGCGAGCAGGCCCTGCCACACCCTGACGCACAGAGCTGCCGCCCGCCGCCCCGCGCCCCAGCTGGCTGAGGGTACAGGAGAGGGAGCGGGGCAGAGCCAGAGGGCCAAGCCCCGCCCCCCTGAGGGGAAGCAGGAGGACCCCGGGCTCTTGCACCTGCCCCGCCCAGGCCGATCCCCCACTCTGCCCGGCCCTCACCTTGCACCTTCAGAGAGGCCGAGCTCTGGGCATCGTGGGCGTCACACACATACACGCCCTGGTCCCCAAGCTCGCACCGGTAAATGATGAGACTCCTGCAGGCGCCCTGGGCCGTTATGCCCACCGTCTTGCACACTCGCAGCTCCACGCCGTCCTGTGGAGGGATGAGGCCAGGTCAGACGCTGGGGCTGCCCAGCCAGCCCTCCCACTCCTGCCTGCCCACGGTGAGGGGCAGGAGGGGGCAGAGGAGTCCAGGGGACAGAGGCACCTTCAGCCAGCGCACGTCCACGTTGGGGCGCGACAGCTCACACTCCAGGGTCACCTTGTCCTTCTCTGTGGCCACCACGTCCCGCAGTGGGCGGCTGAATCTCACAGGCAGCTCTGGGGAGGCAGGAGTGGGAGGTGAGAAGCAGGGACTGAAGATGCCCTGCGGTCAGGTGGAATCACTCAGCTGGTTTTAGGACTCCACACCCCTGTCTCCACCTGCTCCCTTGGGCCGTCTTGGGGACAGGGGCAATTGCGCTCTGCAGTGGGTCCCGCCCCGCCCACGCACCGGTAACCACGAGCCGCGCTGATGTGTGCACGCCCTCGGCCTTGAAGGCGATGAGGCCGCCGTCCTGCGGCCGCAGCGCCAAGAGCGTGAGGGTGTGGGTGGGGCCGCGCACCGCCAGCTGGCATGTGGGCCCCGGCTGGAGCCGCAGGCCGTCGCGCGTCCAGCTGCCTTCCACGTGGGCGTGCGACAGCTCCACCTCCATGGTGGCGGTGCCCTGCTCTCTCGCCTCCACCGCCTGCAGGCCCCGCACGAGTCGGACCTGGCGCACTGTGGGACAAGCGCGGGGGCTCGTGAGCCACTGCGCCTGCGACCCTGGCCCTCGGGCCAGCCACCCCCCACCTCCCCAAGGGGCCTAAGAGCTCAGCGAGGCGTCTGGAGGCCTGCTCCCTCTCCCCTCCACAGGCCTCCAGACGCCTCGCCTGCCCGCCCCTCCCCCCTTCCCGCAGCCCCGCCCCGCCTCCAGGACCTGCCCCCGGGGGGAGATCTGATCCCCTCCCACCTCAACCCCTCCTCCTAGACGCCCAACCCCAGGCCGACCCCGCCCCGCCGCTCACTTTCCACCGTGAGCTTCGCCTGCGTCTTGTCGTCTGGCGTCTCGCAGCCGTAGAAGCCGCGGTCAGCGAAGCCCACGCTGCGGATGACCAAGCGGTGATGCGCGCCCTCGGCGTGGATCGCCAGGTTCTCGCCCGGCGCCAGGGCCGCGGCGTTGCGCGTCCACTTGACGTCCGGCCACGGCCGCGTCAGCTCCACCCCCATAGTCACCGAGCTCCGCTCCTCCACCGTCTGCGGCTCCAGCTTCTTCCTGAACAGCACCGGAGCCTCTGGTCATGGGAAAGAGAGGTCATCGCAGCCACTGCCGCTCTCGGAAAAGCCAGGCGCAGAGCTGCCCCCACCACCTCACATTCCCACTTCAAGCTGGGCAAGGCCCAGGCCATACTCAGGGCCCAGCCGCACACCTGCACAGGTACGATTTTATGGGAGGAAACCGAGGCTGGGGGCGGGGGGGCCTTCTCCTTCCCCAGCCCCCTCCCACCTCCTGCTGCCCTACTCTGAACAATCCTGCCACGTCCCACCCGGTGCCTGGAACTCCAGCAGCATCAGCATGTGGGAGCTGGTGATGCAGGCGGCCTCTGGGCCCACAGACCCGCTGCCTCAGTCTCCGCTTCGGAAGAGCCGGGACGGCGGCACGGTAAGGACGAGAGGCAAGCTCAGGCGGGCCTCCGGGGCCCGGCTGCGCGGGGATCTCCGCACAAGGTGCCTCGGGCCACACACTCCCTGGCTCAGGAACTTGCCCTCAGGTATAGTCCCGGCTCTCCCCGACGCAATCTGGCTTCAGCCAACAAAGCGCTCCTGTCTTTCCCTGGCCGCCAACTCCACTCTCTCCCACCTCACCATCCATCCGGCTCTGCACGGGACGCCTCCTCCAGGAAGCCTCTGCCCACTCCCAGACCAGGTGAGCAGTGTAAGAGTTTACTTTCTCCCTTTCAGAGCAGGTGCCTGGCCACTCGGTCCCACCCGAATCTCCTCTGTGCAGCCGACAAACCCCGTGGCCCCTGGGGTCAGCCAGACCAGCTGGACACGGGCTGGTAGCGGCATGCCGCCTTGGAACCAGCCCCCGGGGGGAGGCGCCCTCCCTGCCGCCCCACACGCGCACCTCGGACCCGGAGAGCAGCGGTGGACTTGACGCCCTCGGCCTCCGCGGTGATCTGGCCGGCGTCCTCCAGGACGAGGCTCGAGATGATCAGGCTGTGGCTGCCGCCGCTCTGCGAGATGAGAAACTTCTCGCTGGGCTGCAGCTGGGCGCCGTCCCGGAACCACGTGACCGCCGCGTCACCGGGGGTCACCACGCACTGGAAGGTGGCCTCGAGGCCCTCCTCCGCGACCACGGTGTTCAGACCGGACGTGAACTTGACCTCGCGGGGGACTGCGGACAGGAGCTCCGCTTGAGAGGCAGGCAAGAGGGGCGGCGGCCCCACCCTGCAGACGCCGCGGAAGGACTTCTCCTCCAGGAAGCCGCCCATGAACGCCGGCCCGGCTGCCCACCCGGCCCCGCGCCCCAGCCCGCGCGCCCGGCGGCCCCGTACCGCTGACGGTGAGCCGCGCGCTGGTGCGGTCGTCGCGGCTCTCGCACACGTACTCCCCCGCGTCCTCCGCCCGCAGGCCCGACACGGTGAGTGAGCGCCGGGGCCCCGCGGCCGCCATCTGGAAGCGCTTGCCGGCCCGGAGCTCCGTGCTCCCGCAGCGCCACACCACCTCGGCCTGCGCTGGGCTCAGCTCGCAGGCCAGCGTCACTGTGCCGCCCAGATCCCCGCGCACGGGCTCCAGGGGCCGGCAGAACTTGGCCGCCACCTCTGCGGAAGGGGAGAGGACGTCAGGCGTGGCGCAGGCTGCTCTGTGCTGCCTGGTCGTGCGTCCTGAGACACAGCCCGCCTCTGCTCTGGGACGCCGCAGACACGGAGTTCCCAGAGGACCGCCCCCGCCCCGCTGACCTTCCACCTGCACCGGGAAGTCTTGCCCCTCGGCGCCCACGCGGCAGCTGTAGACGGCGCTGTCCATGGTCTGTGCGCCGCGCACGGTCAGTGTGTGGGTGTCCCCCAAGCTGGCCGTCTCGTGCCGCTTGCTGCGGCGAATCTCCACGCCATCCTTGAGCCACGTCACTGTGGCCACAGAGGGTGTGACCAGAGTGGCCGTCAGGACGATATCCTCATGTTCCCTGACCACCAGAGGCTCCCTGCGGCCGGGTCTCTCCAGGGCTGGTCGCTCAGGCTCCGGCTCTGTGGGAGGGGGGGGGGGGGGTCAGTGGGCAAGAGAGCAGAGACCCTGGCATCCCTGGCCTGGGCCCCGCAGCCATGCCGGGCTACATGGCTGGGAGAAAACCTGAAATGGAATCATCCCAAGCTCCCATTGCTCTGTGACACCAGCCCTCTCCAGCCCTGTCCAGCTCTTGGCCACTGGCTCTCCACTGAGCAAGCCTGAGAGTAAACAGAGCAGAGCCACACACCGCGTAATGGCACCATCCAGGCTCCCAGGGCCGATGCAAGGCAGCCAGGCGGAGCCCCGGGGCCACAGGCCTGAGGGCCGCAAGCTCTGTCCCAGCCAAGAGCCAAGAGCGCGAGACCACTGTCCTCCAGGGAAGCACGGGCCCCATGCGCAGACACTGCAGGGAGAACCGGGGCATCCTGGGGGCTGGGCCAACATTCCAGAAGGTCCGTGGGAAAAGGGCCACAAAGGGAGGCAGGCGAGGGCAGCCTGGGTGGTGGGGCCTCAGGGGGCAAATGGAGAGGTGCAAAACCTCAGCGCCTCCAGCAGCCAAGCCTGGACAGAGCCTGAGGCCGAGAGGGGAGGGCAAGGCCCTGGGAGGGGGTTCAGGAGGCTCCTTGTGAGGTCTGTCCCAGGAGAACCCATGGAAAGACCACACTGGCTGCAAGATGGGGAACAGGTGAGTGAGGGCCACAGCTGGGGACAGGGGTAGCATCCGCCAGCTCAGGATGGTGAAGCCCGGCAACGTCTTCTGCTGCTGGAAGGGGTGGGAGGGGGTGAGGAGCAGGCGCAGGCAGTACACTGACCTGGCGCAGGCCCAGGCCACGATGGGCATCTGAGCAGAGAGTCTGGGCCACAGGGCTGACCTCAGGATAGCTGGATGGTCAGGACCCCAAGGCCAGAGAGAGGGACCCCACCCCATCCTTGCTGAGGGCAAGGGCGCCCAAGGCCAGGGGCCTCTTGGGTGAGGTTCCCCAGACCAGAGCTGGGCTCTCAACTGCCCAGAGGGAATTAAAATAGGAAAGTGTCCACTCCAGGCCCCAGACAGAGAACAGCCATTTCCACAGACCTCAGGCCTGAGCAGCCTGCAGAAGCCTAAGGAAGGCTCAGAGGCAGGTCTCATGCTGGGGAAGGTGGGAATGTGGAGAAGAGGTCCAGGAACTTGGGCCAGCAGACGCCAAAAACGTCATGGACTAGGGGCTGTTGTGAGTGACCTCAGACTCAAGCGGCTCAGAGTGGACTGGGCCCTGGGGCTGGGGACGTCAGCAGAGAACTGGCACAGGACAGCCGCCCACATGAGGCAGTGACAAGCCTTGCAGACAGATGCCCACATGCGTGACTGGTCAGGTGTTCATGCGCCAGCACCCTACAAGCCTTGACCCACCTGTGACGTCCAGGCAGAAGCAGACCTTCTGGCCCCCGGCCTCGCAGCTGTACTCTCCGGCATCCGCCTGCCCCGCCTGCTGCACCACCAGCCGCCTGCTGCAGCCCTTGGCCTCCACATGCACTTTTGAGCTCGCACTCAGCTTCTTCCCGTCCTTGAACCACGTCACGTCCGTCTGGGCCTGGGCCACCTCACAGCTCAGCGTGGCGCTGGCCCCCGCCTTGGCCTGCACCTCCCTGCGCACTGGCTGCTCCTTGGCAAACACCACCGTGGGCTCTGGGGACAGGAAGAACACGGGGTCAGAGACACCATCTAAGGCATATGGGTAAACATTCAAAGTACCGTTTATGAAAAGGCCATCCTTTCTTCACGCCTTGCACAGGAGCCACAGTAAAAACAAAGGAGGGCAGGGAACGGGCAGCAGGCCCGACCACGCACGAGTCTGCTTCTGGGTACCCACTCTGTTCCCTCGCTCTGATAACTATCCCTGCAGCGAGACCCTGCCGTCTTCGTGACTGAAGCTGTCTAAGTCTGGAGATCTGCTACGGCAAATGCTCCACCTGGCCGTCTTCAGGACCCACTGGCGGCACACGGCCTCTGGAGTCCACTTGTCAATTGTCAACCCCACCCCACTCCTTCTCGCCAAAACAACGCTTGTTTGGATTTCATCGTAGTGAACATCTTCGATTCTCCCATGGATTTCTATCCATTTATTCAGATTTTCTTTACCGTCTCTCAAAAATATTTAACAATCTCCTCCCACACAGCATCTAAACGCCTCTTATTACACTGGGAATGAAAAACATGATACTTCTGATGTTACTGCAAATCTCTTAAACTTTCATTTTCCAACCATTTGTTGCCAGTATATAGATAGAGAGGGTTTCTCTACCTCCATTTTGAATATGATAATCTTTCCCAACACTCTTACTAAATCTAGTAATTTCTCTTTTGGATAAATCATATCAGCTGTGAATTCTTCTTCTGTGTTTTAAAACTTTTATACCTTTTATTTTATTTTCCTTTTTTTTATTTGTGCCGTGCAGTGTGGGGTAGAAGTTGTGACATGGCTTCCCATCTTGTTCCTTGTCTCCAAGGCAGATCTTTCAAGGTTTCACTTTGTGAAGTTACTAGGATTTGTCTGCAGTACCATTTATCAAGTTCAGGAAGAATCCTTTGACATACTTTGCTAGAATTTTATGGCATGAATTCATGCTAGATTTTATCCAACATTTCTTCTGGACTTAGGATGTAAAAGTGTATCAAAGACTTTATTCTGCATGCGTTGAGGTCTCACACTGATTTCTCTTCAATCTGTTAATGTCATGCTTTACGTTGATTTGCTAACGTTTCTAATGTTAAACCAGCCTTGGTTCCTGGTGCATTATGAATTTTCTCATAGTGTATGATTCTTTTCATATACTGCTGAATTCAGTTTGCTAACTTTTTTTACCATACTGGCCTTGAGATCCATAACAGACTCGCTTATAATATGAATTCTTCCTACTGTCCTGTCATATTTTAGTATCAAAGTTATGCTACCACATAAAATGAGTTAAAAAGTGGATCTCCTTTTTTATTCTCTAGAAGACTCTCCATGAACAAGGTATAATTAACTTCCAGAATATTTGGGAGACTTTACCAGTAAAGCCACTTGGCTGAGAGTCTGTTCTAAGAGAAGATGTTTTCTTCACTGGTTCTATTTTTTCAGTTGGACCGTTTGAGTTGTCTGTTTCTTCTTGGGTCAGTTTTGCTTTGGTTTTCTATAAATAGGCCAATTTCTCAATACTTTTCCAATTTTCTTGCAGAAAATAATGTCAGATTCTCTTAAATAGCATGTCAAACACACACGGCAGGATCATTGGTATCCACACACACCTACAAATGGTTAATACTGACACAACGCCAAACTGCCGTGTGTGCCACCCAGGAGTCAGGGGGAGACCACAGCCAGCTCTTATTGGAGTTAAACCCTCCTAGGAAAGGGAACATCTAGTTCACAGACTTCTCTGTGAACCAGCCAGGAAGGCACAAACACACAGGCAGCATCAGGAAATGCTATGAAATAGGGGCTGCCACCACAGGAACGCCTCAGGAACAGAGTGTGCCCAGGCGCCACAGTCACTTATTTCTCTCCATTTCTAAGTTTATAAATCAAACCCCAACAGGAATTCTGACACGGGATATTCTAACTGAAGACAAGAGGAAAACAAGATTTGCTTTGAAAAGAAAACTCCAACCTCACACGTGTGCATCACAGACGCTCGGCTCCCAATTCTCTGCTCTCCATTGATTTTGCACGGACACCGCAATGAAACATCTATCTATATTTTGCTACGTGTGGGTGCAAGAGAGCTTCTCTATCCATGTGCAAGGAGGGAAGAGTGTTGCAGTTTTGTTACCCTCAAAACTTTGGTAAACCAAATTCAGTCTTGAGATAAATCCAAGTATGATTGGGTGGCTGAAATGTGCTATTATCCTGGCTGAATGAAATGCAAATACCTCTTGATAGCAAGAACCCTCATCTGGGGCAGGTCAAGATGAGTGGGAATCAGAACAGCCTCAGGTGAGGGACATCTGGTCCACCTCAGCCCAATGCACCAGATACAGCCAGAGTCCTGGACACCAAGGACCAACGGTGGGTCCAGAGGGGGTGCTGGGAAACATGACTGGTGTGGAATTGCAATGTGGAAACACCACTACGATGGGGAAGAAGGGCCCTCCCCCTCCTGTACACACCCCTGCCATCCAAGATCCCTTGGCTCAGCCATGAGTGTGAAAATGAGACATGGGAGACGGGGATACGGGAAGAGATGAGGTTTGATGGAAAGAGTGCCAGGGTGGTCTGGGCTGTGAGCCAGTCCTTCATCACCTCCACATGAGGCTAGTTCACCCCCACTCTAAGAACTGACCTGTGACGTCCAGGCGGAAGCAGACCTTCTGGCCCCCGGCCTCGCAGCTGTACTCTCCGGCGTCCGCCTGCCCCGCCTGCTGCACCACCAGCCGCCTGCTGC